TCACAGTCTGCTTCAGTCCCCCAGCCGCATGTATGTCCCTTTAACCCGAGCGACTTCCGAGCAGTATAACTTGGATGGCATTAATATTATGAACAGCAGATGGCTGAGTTTTACGGAGACTTCGCCACGGCCAACCCTGCTCGGTTCTCAACCGAGATGTCGAGGTGCTACGGCACAGTTGGTACGTATTAGTGGCACTGGTTACGATAATATGCTTCATTCTGCTTATCCAGTTTAAGGCCATATGCTTGAGGAGTGGGAGCTGTTTGGGGCATATATTATTTTCTGTCGTGAGATATTTTGGATTTTACGATTATTGCTGTTTCAGCGATGTAAAAATAAGAAGTTGAAGTTTCATTTCGGTTGAGGCGTTCAAAATCCAGTCATGTAGCTGTAAGGTCGATTTTCGATCAAACTTTTTAAATGAATGGTAGCTGTTCGTCGAAAAGTTATTCAGATTAAAACTCTATTAGCTGCAACGTGTATCTAGACAAAGAATTAAATATGACTCACAAATTCGCATCTCTAATGAGATCATTCGCGGAGTTTTCTGGTTGAATCGTCCAAAATCAACGATTTATCCTACCGCATAATAACAGTCATCGATCGTTTTCAAAGTCTAGTGGTCATGATTTCTGATATGGTAGCGGTGAATTTGAATAAAACAATGAACCTGTCTAAGTAACGATAGTTAGTATGAAATTCAATGTAATCACCAAAAGCATTTGGTTCTCTTTCACCTGATAATTGTCAGCCCTGAGTAACTAACTGCCAAAACTTCGTAAATCAGAGTACAATTTTTAAAACTTCTTATAGGTTAATTACTGTCAGCTGTAGGCAAGAAAACTGACTAATATTCTATGTTCATGATTGAAAATATCGCGTTAATCAGTGTTAGTAAATTAATTACCTCAAACAGTCAAAGGAATCTGTCGTCCTTTACTGTAGAGTCAAGTCACTCACTTACGCGATGTTTGGCATGATAAATTGATATATAGTAGATGAAGTTATTTCCGGAGAAAGAAGGGTTTTTAAACTTTTAAATATGATGTTAGGATTAAGTACATGAGGGCAGCGAATCAGTTAAAGTTTACTGCTATAGCGGATAGCAGTAACTGCTCATTTTTCTGCGATGAATGTTCCCAAGTACTGTGCATTCAGGACTTAGGTAATAATCCCCAGATGAGTCTATGCGTATGTCTACTGTCACCACTGCTGTGGTTAACTGAGTATGACTTTAAATAAGAGGTGCTCTCGCGTTCGTAACTGAAACTTTGTTCTTTGTTTTTGTTCTAAAGAGGGAGCGTTCTTTTACGTGTTTTGATTTCCATCGAAGTGTTTTTGCTCATTGAAACAACTATATGCCTGAATATGACTGTTTAGAGACGGAGAAACGATTGAACACATCTCAGAAAGACTTTTTGTTAAACAATGCTGCGTAAATCTACGGTCTAGTTGTTTCCATTTCACATTGATTGTCTTGCCGATGAGGGTGCATACTTTTAAAATCTAGGGCTGATGAGAAGGGGGCATTCTGTTGTGCTGCCATCGTTTGTGATTTAAGTCCATTTGAATTGTGCTCAACACGTGACAGTCGCTTAGTCGATAAATGCCCAGATTTTTGGGTCTTGGGCAATGAGGAACAGTAGCTTTTACTGAATTTACTGAACAGTCGTATCACTCTGATATCGATTTGACTGGATCGAACTATCGCCAGAATCAATTCAGGTATTGTCAGATGTTGGCCCATATCCCCTTTCTCTGCGCTGGAAGGTAATTGGATGTGCTGAGCGCTTTACTTTGTGGAATAATTGTAGAGTTGCTTTTATTCTTGTTTCGGAAAATCTACGACAGCTGGAGAACAAACTGCAGTCGGATTCAGTGCATGTGAAAATTTCCTAAGACAGTGAAAGTGAAGTTAAACTGTTTGTAAGCTGCGTGGATGACTACGTTTGCCTAAGCTTTTGCCTTGTCCGTAGTATTGGTGTGCTGCTAAATTTCGTCTTTCGTCACTGTTGTTTTACTGAAGGCTTGGTGAATGGTGTTTGAGATATTTGGCCCGAAAAATTGTGACAGGGGTCATATTGAGAGTATGCCAATTTGTATCCTGCTAAAATTTTGGTTCATTAATAATTTGGATTTTTTCGTTTTTCAGATCTTTTATTCTAACGTGAGATCTATGTATTAGAAATCATCTCACCGGTTTAATGGTTGTCTTCGACGGTTCAGTGGATAACGATGTTGTCAGTTGTATGCATTTGCATGGATTTTTGTTAAATCTGTCTGTGTTGACTTTTGTTGTCTGGCGCTAGAGAGGTCGAAAATGTCGTAGTTTGCCTCACAGCGGCGCGGCTGGCTAGTAAAACGATTCGCTGCGCAAAGTCACGGACCAGTAATTGTGTAAATTGAAATGCAGACGTTATTTTGAACGGTTAACATAATTTTGTAACTCAGAAAAATCAGCAATAACGTTTCAGTGACATTCACTTTTAGCACAAGGTTTTCCTTCGATTTCAGGATCTGTCATCAACAGCGTCATTAGAATCAGCTCAGGTTAAAGCGGGTTGGTCTACTTTTCAGCGATCCGCATCAGAATACAAAACGGCTTATGTTAATAAGGGGAGGAAAAAGATGTACAGAGCATATAAACTTATGTTCATAGAATGCCTGCCAAAAGTAAAGGGCTGGAAATGAAGAGAGAATACATTCAGCATCAGTGGCTGCGACACATGATGAAATAATTTTGAACACCGCTGGGATTGTTTGTCGTGCAGTAGCGACGGCTGCGATGTAGAATTTATCAAGAAAGCATCAGTGACCTCACCAGGACTTGCGATGTTCGTCGATTTCTAAAAAGTTGCTGGTGCGTTGTTTCTGAGTTTATGACAGAAATATCATAACTGTGTAATCACCTGAGAAGTAGGAAGCGACACTCTTCTCTTTGGTACGCATTCCCATCTCTTATAGCTAGCCTTAATGCGATGAATTTCACAGAGTGGATGTTAAAGAGCATCTGAAATGCATTCCAAAGACGTTGAAAGCACTGTGAAGCTCTCTGCAAGCACGTCATAAATTCAATTTCGCGCATTTGTAGTAAATGGAAGATAACGATAAAAATTACGAAATCGCATGCCGAAGTGATGGTGTACCGCAATCTTGCCAATACGGTAGCGATGAAAGCCTGCCATCCAATTCAGAATGGTCGGCTAACAGGGCACTAGTATATCGACGTATCGGCTAAAAGTCCAGCCTTGATGAAGGACTAACGGGTGAAAAGAATAAGTTGCGGTTGTTTGTATCTCTGGTGCTTAGTTTCAGCAGCCCTCTTTCCATCGTCAAGTGTGCACTTAAGAACTCCAGCTAACAGGTGACTATGTATTTCTTCACCAATAAAAGCCCGGTGAAATTACGTTATGCATTTTGCCCTCTTGGATGAACTTCATTATTATTCACGATGTTGGAATGCACAACTCTTCCCTTCGAAGTTAAAGTTCTGAACATTTAAAAGTTTCGGCATCCGAAATAAGTTTGAAAGTCTGTATTTATAAACACCGTTAGATTCGTATAGCAACTTATTTGAAGCTGGCGCTGCTGATCGTCTGATAAAATGGCCAGAAGGTTTGATCAGTGTGAAACCTGTAATTGCAAAAAAGGCTTCGGTTTTGAGCACAAACACAGTTTAGAAAATAAACTTGGAGTGGTTAATTACGAACAGATTCCCTACCTAGGTCACTTAAAGCCATTTTGCCATATAATGCTTCCATTTGATTGCGATGATTTTAACACATAAGCTAAAGAACATTATTGAAAGAGTTCTGTTGGCACCTACTTTATCCACTACATGGACGGGAAGCACAAACTGCACGTTGTGACACCACATACCCATGTTGATGTATTCGTTGAGCAGTAAGGCATTCTTGAATTATGTTTGTTTTTGTTGGTTTTGTAATTTTCGTGTGAAGCTACCAAAGTCTAAACAACAGAATAACCCATATTTTTATGTCCTGACCGTTGAATATGGTACTTCAGATTGATATGAGGTCAGACTACTTTGTAAAGGCGGTTGAACCACCATATGGATGTAAGCGCAAAGGTGTCTTAAACAGCGCGGCTAGCGAAGTCACGGCGCAGCTGCTCACCGCTATTAACGTTGGAACAATGCTTATTATGAAATTGTGAACGTCATCAAAACTTCATACGTTATAAACTTTACGAAAGAAAGGTATTAATGACATTGCGCAGCACTACAGAATCTTTCTCCGCTACATCTATACCTTTAATTAGATTAACAGACGTAATTTCTGCCCTAAACGACGCTCACAGAAGATAGGCAGGCCGTGTGGCTCGTAAACGTCCAGAACTACAAACTGCGTTCTGCTGGAGCACATGAGTTGTCTCGATCGTTCAAAAATACGTTGAAATGATCCGATGGTCAAGTTACATGGTTAGCTGTGGGGGCATAAGGCGAAGAATAAAGAATACTGGAGGAACGCATACTTGCATTCGTGGCGCATCCACAACGAGGACAAGTCGGACAGCAGACGGATTTGTGCCTTTAGTTAAGTTGTCAGCATGACGTCATAGCTTTGCAATTAGGGGTTTAAGCCAACCAACTGACTCTCTGTGATACGGCTGTGTTAGGTATTCAATGGTCTGTTGAAAATGGCTTCACATTTACTGTATTTTTGAGTGGATCTGGATAGTGAAGGCTTCCTTTGTGTTTCATTCGAATCAAGTTACGACTTAGCAGAAGAAAGCTAGAAACAGCACTGCATAAGTTTATCCAATAGTGTAAAGACTTAGGACGCAATTCTTTTTTGTTATGCTGTTTGTTGCAAATTGCGGTGCTTTTTTGCTAGTTCCGGCGCATTGTAAACTTAATGCTCCACCACCTTAATCGTAAACTCAGAATAAGCGGCCAAAATGAACGAGCAGTTTAGACGTAGAATATGATATAACGACAGCTAACTGATGACATTGCTTCGCCGATAAAATATCAAATGGATTTCTCACGTATGGAGTCAAAGTTTCTAGTAGCTGCGACCCAAATTTTGACGTTTTTCTTGCCACTTAGATCTATTGATAAATGCTGAAACAGCTTTGGACAGCCGGATGCGTCATCCAACGTCAGGAAGGTTGATGTGCCGAAGTTTCGCTCTAAATGCGGCGGTTCTTCTTCACTGTTAAAGTTATTTGACCTTCACAACATGTTGTTCCAAACTGAAATATTTTTTTTCAGAGGTGAAACCCGCGGACATTCTCGAAATACGTAAAAAGCATGTTTAAGTTTGCAAACGTAATTAGTTGTATTCGAAGATGATGGCAGCTAATTTTTCACTGTAAAGTCAGGGTACCACGAGTTGTCAGTTTTAAGACCCGGAATTCACTGCCTGGCAATTTCCGTTGAAATGAACTCGAAACTAATTGGTCAATTGTTGCCACCATCCGTTTTTATGCTGTTGCGGAGAACGCACCGTTGGTTTTACATCAGACTCTGACAACATTTGGTGCTGAGTAGAAAAAAATTTTGACTTAATTACCTTGTCGATCAGGTGAAAATCGTTAACATTCAGTGTTGGATTATTCAGCCATTTTTGCAACGCTCTCTGCTAATTTGTCTGTTTTTAGCTCGTATAGAGCATCCTTTTTCTGTCCTGCAAAGACCGCGTCCATCCACAGGCGCGTGCAATGTGAGGACCGAGTTCAAATGTCGCTCAGACAATCGCTGTATTCCGAAGTCGTGGGTGTGTGATGGAGGCAAGGACTGCAGTCAAGGAGAGGACGAAGAGGGCTGTGGTGAGTTGCTTTGTTGTTGTTACGTTTTTTCCTTTCATTGTCCTTGTGCATTCATCCCTCACTTTTAAGCTAGCAGCCCGTTCTTTGCTTAATTAGAGTCAAGAGTAAGGAGATACTCAATGTGTGATAAGTTTATTCGATTATCGTTGAAAGCCGAGTTTCTAAAATCTTAATTGCTCTGAAAAGTAAGATAAATACATTATTGAAAATTTAAAAATGTATCAGACCAGATTATTTATACGACGCAAACTATTTGTTCAATCACGCTACTGATCATTGCTGACGTTTTGATTCTTCCCTCCCGAACCTTTCTCCGGGTGGTCCTAGTTGATTTATGCAATTGGTTATGTGGTCCGCTGCCGTTGTGGCCTTTGGAGTCAAAGATGTTGTTCCTTTTGGCCCATGCTGCCGATTAAGTTGTTCTGCGGTCACGGCCTTTCATAAAGTATGCCCACTCTGCGATAGTTTGTATCCCTTAAACTGACATTTGGATAATTGAGGCGTCTTTAACCATTGGGAGAGGTGGCGTTTCTCTGCTGGATGAGTACAATCTCCGAGTCCTTTTCACATTGTTCTTTGGCCTTGTTAGCAGCGAGTGTTTGTTTCTTTGTCTGCGGTTTGTATTTTTGCGTTGTGTATCAGTAAACTGTTTTTATGCATTTTTTTCAGTTTTCGGCATGAACACAAACGCACGAACAACTTACTCAGTCTTCAGATAAATGCATTTTTAGAATAAAAGGACATTTGTAACTTTTTCAGTTCAGTGAATCCTTGACATTTCGATTAAAAAAAAAGTAATTTCATGCATCTAACTGAAAAGGACAATAGTCCTGTGATATTGTAATGCCAGTGCCCGTCGAAACTTTGGTTTGAGACGACACATGGAGTTTTATTGAATTCAGAGAGCGGTCGCACAAGTAAGTGCAATTCCACCAAATCAGGTTGCGCGGCACTATATTCTGGACTTGTTTCTTCTTAGTGTCTAGTGCGCTGTTTATGCAAAACACGATTCCCGATTATTTCATCTGTTTGCGATCTTCAATGCATTTTGCATCATTTTATTGAATGGAGCCATAGCTTGCTTGTCACCAATGATGTTTCCACGGCCAGTGCTTCTTTATTTTTTCAGCACTGTCAAAGTGACAAAAACTGATCAGGTTAAACTGGAGGAACGTGGTTTAAAGCTTACTGGCTTTCATCTGATTGTAGTCTAAAAATCTGCAAAACATATCGCAGAGCGAGCTCCTTCCACATGTATTTTAATTTTATTCTCACTTGGCATATTTCTACAATCTATAGTGCCTAATACATAATTGGAAAATGAAAGGAAAGTCGGTAACCATTGGAATGTCGTCATTCCTGGCGTCCTTCTTTTCATGAAGTTATTGGTGGATCGTTGATGTCCACTTCAATGCCATCAGCTAAGAGTGCTTTGTTTAAAGGGCAGAGTCGGCAGCATCTACATGACAAGCTTAAAGCGTACTTTCCTGTTTCCTTACCGTGGAGCATAGAACGGCACTCACTTATCAGTCTCGGGAGAAGCAGGGGAGAAGAAAAGCGAGTGATTTGACCGGGGTTCGAGCTTGGGGACTCACGTTTCTGAGTCCGACACTACCGATTGTCCAATCCCGGTTATAAGCAACCTGTGGTAAATTCTTTACTCGAAAAACTAGAAGTAACCAACTGTAGGAGTGACAGAATGTTCCGGCAGGGTCATGCTTGAGTTGGCGTCACTCGTGAATTTGATGCGTGCTCTATGTGATTCTAACTTGTTTTGACTCCACTGCTAGCTGATCAGTTCGGCATAAGGTGTAACCCGTAAGACGCAAGGCTTTGGATTTTCAGGGCCATCAGTATACAGCTGCGTTTCTTGTGGGTTTTCTGCACTTGATGTTTTCTAGGTTTTACTTTTATTAAAACCTAACTTTACCGTTCCTGTAAAACTGATTGATCACTGGTTGGGTTTAGAGAAGTCACAGTGCATCGGTTTCATTGTTCTCGTATGCCTGAAACTTCACATGCAGCAAATATTGTGGAGATGTATAGATCTTGAAGTTTTGTCACAATTTGCCCTGCACTCTCGTGGATGTTTCTTAATTCACGACTTTCATCGTGTTCACTATAGTATAGCGGTTGGCAAAGTTTCGCAGTCGTTTTGTTGCACTTTGTTTGCCCCACTAGCAGCTTCTTAAATCCGCGTGTAGATTTCAGCTGAAGATCGCAAAGGTCGAAGTTGAAATAAAGCTCATACATGCACATCAGTAGCCGTTCCGAATGCGAAGATACACGTTCATCATTTCGCGTTAAATGAGTCATGCAACTGAGGTTCGTTTTTTCGTCCTATCGCTATAAACAGATATGGTTTGCTTTAGACTATCGAAGTTTTGGTAACTTTTCATAAAAGAAGATTGAAATTATCTGCTTTAATATCCATTGTACACTTCGTCCTTTGGGTAACCAATTATAAGTTCAGAAACCATTGAAAACATTGTATACATGTTGTAATTCTCTTACCTTATCGAATGAAACCATGTATATCCCGTAAGTCCTCTGAAATCATCTTTAGTACCAAAAACAATCACGGTGCATGTTTCGTTAGTAGTTTCAGTGCTTCTCTCAATAGACAGATCGTTGATTTTTAATTGCATTACTTTTCACCTAAGTTGTAAAGTTGAGGCTTTGAAGTTTTCATGCAAAACATTTTAGCTCACCCGGGCTGCAGAGGTGACCAGTTTCAGTGCGACAACTACCGCTGGAACGAAACGTCGTGTATTCCTTCCTACCATCGTTGCGATAATCACACGGATTGTTTCGATAGGTCTGATGAAAAGAACTGCCGTAAGTCCACGTTTATGCTCGACTAGGCGTTTGAAGCCAAGGACAGTTTCAACAGCTTGATTTGCGTTACACTAGTCTCTGGTCGCTTTATGTGTGCAGTAATTATCTGATTGTGCTATTGAATTTATTTCCTTTATGTCTTTAGTGGGCATTTAGAACCAGTTAGTGCCGGAAGGAAGTCGATACAGTTGTTGCTATTCAAGTCAAACTCTTATTCAATTGTCATTCCGTTCTTGAAATGATCCTTAGTTCACACGACTCCTTGCCCCTTTGGCACCATATAAGTTGCGAATATCGAATAATGTTAGGCATTGTCGAACTAATTTCTGTCAAAAGCATATCCTTTATCCAGATGAGGAAGTTTGTCGTACTTTCTGTTGCGATAAAAGTGAGCCCAGCTACTTTCATCTGCAAACATATCTAAATTGTACTTTTTAAACAGACTTGGAACATAAGGAAATATGGCATGATATATTCAGTGTTCTTGACATACTTCCATCGCTACCGTGATGGTTGAAGAAAATAAGTTCTATCGTATTTTTTGAGTTTCGGTTTATGCAACTTCAGACATTGTTCCATCCCCACCTTTCATGACGTAGATGCAGGCGGGATTCGTGAGAAGGAATTCCCGTACCAAGTTTATTTTAAATTCCTTCAGCATTCAACTATTCAAGCTGTTCACTGAATGTCTAAGTTGTGTCTGAAACGGGAAATTTTTCATTAAATTTGGCGTGAACGTTAGTTTTTACCTGTTGACTTAAGAATTATTCAGATATTTTTTGTTTTAAATTAATTTTACTTTTCTAGCCAAAACGTTTTGTTCCGAGACCGATTTTCACTGTGAAAATGGCCGGCAGTGCTTTCCTCAGAGCAAGGTGTGCGACGGCTATTTTGATTGCCGAGACCGGTCAGACGAAAAAAATTGCGGTAAGTTGCACTGCGATTTGTGTGGGGAAGCTCGTTAACATTAAAAAATATATCTTATTCGCCTTATGGCGTTTTGCTTCACACCAAAGCAACTTGCTGTGCGTTTCTGGCTGTGAGGGTAGCCAGAATAGCTAAGTCGGTTAAGCTTAAGATTTTCAATAGAAAGATGGTAGGTTCGAATTCTAGTCAGATTCGCCATTCATACTTCTGTGGTAGATAAATGAATACAGCTGTGTTGGAAGAAAGCGGTGGATTACATTTAGTGGGCACCAGGATGTAATCACTGCCTTAGCAAATAAAGCATACCTGTTTGACAGATTTAGGATGGAAATCAGCACCGCAGCATAAATTGCGTGATAAGTGGTGCTAAAATGTTTTCTTTTTGTTAATTTTCTGAGAATTCAATTCATGTGCTTACATATTTTAGGAAAAATGGTTTCTTGTTATCTGTACCAGTTCAGATGCAAAGATGGCAGTCAGTGCATTCAGAAAAGCTGGAAGTGTGATGGCTCCAAAGACTGCCGCGATGGATCCGACGAGCCGGACGACTGTGGTTTGTATAGAGCTATTTTGTTTTAATCTGCCTAGGTCTTGACACGAAGACAATTTCTTCTATTAGCGGGCTGCTCTTAAAAACGAGGCGTTGGTCATCTACGAGTTGATCATCTTAGATAAAATAAGGCTCTGTTTTCCGGTTCTTTCTCAGGCCTAAAACTCTCCATAGCCGCATCCGCAATTTAGCGTAACAGTGGTCTTTGCAAAAGCGATTCCTTTTACGTTGTCTTGCAAGGACAACATGGTAACGAAATTTTTGAAACGTTCCCGGAGCTTTACCAACCGAAAAAACGCGCTGGTTTCCTGTTGCCACTTGCGCAGCTATGTGGTGAAGAGAATCCATTTTTGTAAATTCCGCCACCGCAGCCGTGAGTTTTTTTTTTGAAGAATTAGCGGCTAAATCGCAACAGTATCTCGGATATTCAGAGTAGCTCAATCAAAGCTAGTCAGATCTAAAATTTGAGATTGTGTTAGATTCAAGTACGATAATTCGATGGAACTGCTTTTCTCTATCAGGGCTCACAATACTTCAGT